TGATTGGGCTTAGTGTATGGGTCTAGAATGGATGAGCTCAGTGTGAGGGTCTAGAACAATTGGGCTCAGTGTGTGGGTCCAGAACAATTGGGCTCAGTGTGTGGGTCTAGAACGATTAGGCTTAGTGTGTGGGTCTAGAACGATTGGGCTCAGTGTGTAGGTCTAGAACAACTGGGCTCAGTGTGTGGGTCTAGAATAGAGTGTGTGAGTTTGGGGGGGGGGGTTCAGTTCGAGAATAATTGGGTCAGTGTGCAGGTCCAGAATGTTTGGGCTCAGTGTGAGTGTCTGGAGAGGTTGGACTCAGTGTGGGGAACTAGAATGGTTGGGCTCAGGATGCAGGTCTAGAATGGGTGTTGTGTGAGTGTCTAGAGCGGCTGAACTGTGTGGGTCAAGAACAGTTAGGCGCAGTGTGCAGATCTAGATTAATTTAACTCACTCTACAGATCCAGAAAATATTTATTTTTCCAGATGATCTCTTCTGTATTGTAATTTGTTTTTGTAACTCCTTTTAAATATGACCAGTATGAATCCACAATAATATTCCAGTGATAACAAATTGGCTGTAATACCGTGAAATTGAATAACTCCCAGCTCTATTTAATTTTGCGAATGACGTCATCCCAAGGTTTCGTTTAACAGCTATCCTTTCTTGCAGGTTTAATTAACCTTTTCACTGCAGGGGAGGGAACCTGTCACATGCTATTTGTGGCAATTAATAGCACTATCTGTCTAACAGAGCTTACAATCTAATTAATCTACTTATTCTCAGGGAGCTATTGTGACTTACTCAGAGATGGCAAATAAGGATAATAAGTGGTTTAACTCTGAGGTTTTGTACATTTACATTCACGATCAACACATGGCAGCATTAAAGGGATACTCCTAGCACTATAACATCTTCATGATGCCATGGATTGATCAGGAATAAGGTAAACTCTTTCTGTACTTACCATACATTTATTTTACACTATCACTGTTCTTCCATTAAGGTTATGGAGCTACTTACAAAGACAGGCTAACGAAAAGGTTACAGTTCTGTTTCCAAAAAAGGACACTGTGGACCCCACGCACCCTGCATGCCAAGTGTTCTATTTTGTCCTTCATGTGAGCATTTCTCAGAGTCCTTTAACACATCACATGACGGTGGTTTAAAGATTCCATAGCTGCCTGTGTACACTCATGCCCATCTGCTGAAATGCCTTGTTCCCGGCTTGCAAGTTGGTTGGATCTTTGCCCTGGGGCATAGATGCCAGCAATTATTGGTTTTAAGAGATGGTTTATGTTACACTGCAAGTGCCATCTGCTTGCCATTAATTTTCTGAAGCATGCCAACACGTAGACAATGATACATAGATTCTCCCCCAAAGCCCCCGATACACAGAGACTGTCATGAGAGGCTGTCTAATCTACTATTTATTATTATTCTTTGTCTAAAGAGATCCAACATATTCTGTGGCACCATACAAAGCCAAGACGCTGAACACAAACTCTAAAAAAGAGATGTGACTTGGCCCTGAACTCAGAAGCTTGGAATTTGTCAATATAGAGGGGCTGCTAACTTGCCTTGGTATTCTTCTGAGATGTGCTGCAAATGGCAGCTAATAGGTTAAAATAAAGTTTGTGAGAAAAAAAAATTCTATGAGTCTTAAAGGGACTGTTACACCTTAAGACAGAAGGTTAAAGGAGCATTATAGCGAGGAATGTAAAGCTGTATTCCTAACACTATAGTGTCCTTCTACCCACCGCCGCAGTGATGAGAACAATTTTTTTTTTCACTTGCCTTATTCCAGTGACCACTAGGTGTAAGCCCACCTGCCACATAAAGGCAGGTGGGCTTACACCTTATGGCCTTTGAAGTGAAACAAAAAAACTCTTATTTATTTAAATATGCATAGGGATTTGGGATAGTGTGCAGCTAACTATTTTCTTTTTCATTTTAAGTATTGGGGCTGATGTGTACTATGGTCATTGCTGCCGCCCAGGAGTAGTGGGTCTGAACGCAGGACTTATTTTTGTCTATTTGTGGTCACTAGAGACAGCCTTAACACTGCAATGTAAACATTGCAATTTCTCAAAAATGGCAATGTTTTACATTGCAGGAATAAAGGGACAGAGACACTGCACCCAGATCACTTCAATGAGATAAAGTGATCTGGGTGCCTATGGTGTCCCTTTAAGACACATTTATATCTCATGTTCTTGGTAACTACTTTTATAAAGTTTTTTTGTTTGTTTTTTTTTACTTTTATTGTACATACTTGGGTTAGCAGATTTTTGATGATGCATGTTCTAGGAATAGTTCTGTTTTTGTTTAATAAAATTATCCTTTTTAACTATTACTGGCCAATCTACATTTTTATCGATCCCTTCTTTTTCTATAGTATCTGCATCTTATTATTATTATTATGTTATTTATATAGCGCCATCAAATTCTGCAGATCTTTACAATGGGTGGACAAACAGACATGTAGTTGTAACCAGACAAGTTGGACACACAGGAACAGAGGGGTTGAGGACCCTGCTCAATGAGCTTACATGCTAGAGGGAGTGGGGTTAAGTGACACAAAAGGTAAGGATAGTATTAGACTAGTGACAGTTGCAGAAGGGGAATTATTCAGGTGCTATTAACAGTTTAATTGATACGCTTTTATGAAGAAGTGGGTTTTTAACGATTTTTTGAAGGAGTGGAGACTGGGTGAGAGCATCTAACAGAGGAGGGAAGCGAGTTGCACAGGAACGTGGGAGTACGGACAGAAGATAGACATAAGTCTTCAGCAGATCGTAAGGGACTAGACGGGACATACTTGTGTATAAGGGAGGATAGATAGGTAGGAGCAGCATTATGTAGCGATTTGAAAGCAAGAATCAGAATTTTAAATTGAGCTCTATATTTTATAGGAAGCCAATGTAGGGGCTGACAGAAGGGTGGGGCATGGGAGGTGCGGGCGGACAGAAAGATGAGCCTCGCCCCTGCATTCATTATGGACTGTAACTGCGCAAGTTGGGAGCACGTAAGACCAGTGAGAAGCGGATTACAGTAGTCAAGGCGAGAAAGGACAGTGGAATGGACCTTAGTCGCATCTGGCGTTAAGTTCAACTCTTCTTTCTAGTTACTATTATTGGGTGATTTTGTTCCATCTCTACACACAATCCTGTCACTGTGTCGGTTGATATTGGGTCTCTGTGTCTATGTGATCGCGTCCGTAACAGATGCAACCTCTCAGCAGGCATACTTTTATCAGTCATGAAAATGTGCCTTTAGGTAATGATGTGGAAATGTATTGTTAACACTGCTAACAGGAATTGTTGGAGATGAAGTCTGGGCATTCTTGGGATGGGGACATTTATTTAACCCAGTGCTTTGAGTGATAGCTTCTTGCTAGATCTTTACAGGCTCTGTGTGGGGTTCCAAGCACTGTCCAGCTTTGCATTTAGAACACATGAAAAATTAAGTTAAAAAAGGGAGAATGGACAAGAGTTTGTTAGCTTGGCCTGTGGGCAAAATTATAATGTTTTGTTCACCTGCGCCATTTGGCATAAGAATGATCCCACACACAATCTAAATTCCAGCAGATCTAGCCTGCATGAGTTTTCTAGTAACCCCAAGCAAAGGGTCAATGTCTAGATTATCCTTTAGACTCCACGAGACTTTACAAATATTCGGACAAATTTTGAATAAAACAGACAAACAGCATAATGAGTTTAATCAACATTCGTTTCAGAGAGGGTTAACAGACTGGGTTGTTGACACTGATACGACTTTAGCAGATGACAGACTGTAATGTATCTTCTTCCCTATTAGTTTTTTAGTTTGTCTATGCTTGAAATATAACATCACAGGTGTTCCTATTAAAGCACACCTCTAAACAAACCCGGATAAAAGCTGCCGTAGCTGGGTAAATTGCGAATTCTCTCCCTAATCACTGTCACACGGGAGCCAATTTATACCGTGCAGATGTGAAAAGCACATAGCACTGCAGAAACCATGCCTTCTCTGTCACTTTGTGAGTGATCCGCTCATGTTTCAAGCATTAATTCAATGGAGAATAGTCCACAGAGCCTACGCTCTTTAATGGTGATGAATAGAAAAGTATCTTTGCAGATCTTTGTCAGCTGTTCTTTTGTGGAGAGAATCATTGTAGAGAAATCACAGCATACCTTGCCTTTGTTCATTCTGAGCGTGGGGATGGTCTTGGTGGGCACGGACATTAACATACCTCTCCATTTCTCAAAAAAACAAAGTCAAGATGTCACAACCCCAGCGGGTACAAACAGTTTCACACATTGGTAGTGGAAGGTAAGAGTATGTTATCTAATTGTGTGCAATATTTTTAATGTACTCACCGCTTATTAAAAGTCAAGATTTCGCAAAAGATATTGCGTACAGTCATAGCTGCTTGTTCCGTGTGGCTGTGCGATGGGTAATAAGTAACCATCTCGAAAACAACATCGCAACAGACACATTCTCCAAAATACTCTTGTTTCCAATGTTGACAACAAAGAAAGCTCTCGGTTTCATCTTTTCAATTGGATGACACGTTGTTCCCATATCTAGGATTATTTTTACTTATGTTGCATATCTCATTTGACACCTACACTTTCCATTAAGGGAACCACTAACAACTCGAGTACAGGAAGCTCCTCTCCAGCTGTCACACACAAATAAAATCAAAGGGAATTCAATGGAAAAACAGCATTGGAATTGCATTTAAAAAACATAAGTATATATTTTTTAAAAATTCACTTATCCTTATTTCATCTTCCTTTTTTTAACGCTTTTATCTGCTTTGTCAAAATTGCATACGTTCAGTGTGTTATCTTTTCTCCTCGCTGCTTTTAATTATTTGAAATAGTGATGCATTTATGGATGTTGTGGAAATAGATTTAAGTCCATGTTCTTGTGCACTTTGCTAAGAGAGTGAAAAAGAAAGTGGAATGAGTTTGCTCATTCATTTTGAGAGTGCAAAGTCCATCTAATTAAGATTTAGGATAGTCTGCGCATGTACTCAACACAGATACAGTAAGCGATGCCTGAATGTTGCTTTACTCTGTTGGCATATTAAATCAAGGGGCTTATTCACTAAACCATGTGTGTGGCAATTTGACGGCAACATGTAGTTTAGAAGAATCTAGTTGCGAGCCATCTCCAACACATTCCTTATAACTTGACTATTTATTTCTAGTTTATACATTTTGCAAGAGAATTGTCAGCTCTCAACATACTCCCTGTTTAAAGGGACACTATAGTCTCCAAAAAAACTTTAGCTTAATGAAGCAGTTCTGGTGTATAGATCATGCCACTGCAGTTTCACTGCTCAATTCTTTACCATTTAGGCGTTAAATCACTTTGTTTATGCAGCTCTGGTTACACCTCCCTGCATGTGACTTACACAGCCTTCCTAAACACTTCCTGTAAAGTGTCATCTAATGTTTATGCTTCCTTTATTGTAAATTCTGTTTAATTTAGAATTTCTCATCTCCTTCTCTGTTAATAACTTGATAGACCCTGTAGGAGCCTCTTGTGTGTGATTAAATTTCAATTTACAGAGCAGGAGATACAAACTTTGAAAGTCTGTTACATATGATTGAAAATTAAACCATTTTGTTTTCATGCAGGCTATGTCAGTCACAGCCAGGGGAGGTTTGACCAGCACTGCATAAACAGAAACAAAAGTGAAATAACTCATAAGTGGCACTGAATCGAGCAGTAAGACTGCAGAGGCATGATCTAGACACAGAGCCGGCCTTAGACCTTTAGACGCACTGTGCGAAAAATTTTCACATCGCCCTCTCCGCCACCCCCCCGTCATCCATGTACAGTCTATGTGTATAGAAGTGTAGTGATTGTATAGGAGATTTATTAAATTAATAATTATTTAAAAAGGCAGATAGTCACACATACACACAGGCAGACAGTCATACACACAGGCAGACAGTCACACACTCTATATATTTTTTACTCCTGTGTCTGTCTCCCTCAAAGTCAAAGGTGATACCATCAGCTCCATCACGCAGGCTCGCTGCCTAGGTGTTCTCTTTGACTCTGACCTCTCCTTCAAGCCTCATGTTCAATCTGTTGCCAAATCCTGTCATTTCCATCTCAAAAACATTGCGCGCATCCGCCGCTACTTAACGCCAGATGCGACTAAGGTGTTGGTCCATTCCACTGTCCTTTCTCGCCTTGACTACTGTAATTCGCTTCTCAGTGGTCTTACGTGCTCCCAACTTGCGCTGTTACAGTCCATAATGAACGCGGCAGCGAGGCTTATCTTCCTGTCCGCCCACACCTCCCATGCCTCACCCTTCTGTCAGTCCCTACATTGGCTTCCTATAAAATATAGTGCTCAATTTAAAATTCTGGTTCTTGCTTTCAAATCGCTACATAATGCTGCTCCAACCTATCTATCTTCCCTTATACACAAGTATGTCCGGTCTAGGCCCTTACGATCTGCTGAAGACTTACGTCTATCTTCTGTCCGTACTCCCACATCTGATGCTCGCCTTCAAGATTTCTCGAGGGCTGCACTGTTCCTGTGGAACTCGCTTCCCTCCTCCGTTAGATGCTCACCCAGTCTCCACTCCTTCAAAAAATCGTTAAAAACCCTCTTCTTCATAAAAGCGTATCAATTAAACTGTTAATAGCTCCTGACTGATTCCTCTTCTGCAACTGTCACTAGTCTAATACTATAATTACCTTTTTGTGTCATTTTACCTCACTCCCTCTAGCATGTAAGCTCATTGAGCAGGACCCTCACCCCCTCTGTTCCTGTGTGTCCAACTTGTCTGGTTACAACTACATGTCTGTTCGTCCACCCATTGTAAAGCGCTACGGAATTTGATGGCGCTATATAAATAACATGATAATAATAACACACACACAGGCAGGCAGACAGACACACACACACAGGCAGACAGTCACACACAAACACACACAGGCAGACAGTCATACACACAGACACACACACACACAAATAGGCAGACAGTCATACACACAGACACACACACATACAAATAGGCAGACAGTCATAAACACAGACACACACAGGCAGACAGTCAAACACACAGACAGCCACACACACACACACACACAGGCAGACAATTACCCATAGTAACCTCTGTTCATTATGGAGGAGTGGAGGCAGTGCAGCTCCTGGAGACTGGTTGTTGGGGAAGCAGGGACTCCTTCCTGCTTCCCCTGCAGCAGTTACCTGGCACTTTTAGCTCTGCCCCCACTATCAGTTTAGCTCCGCCCTCGCCGTAGGGAAGCTCCAGCCCGTCACAATATTTTTTTGTTGTTTTTTTTATTTTTTATAATACCCGCCGGCCATGTGTGAGCTGTGTTGGCCGCATGGCGCCCCCTGCTCCCATGGCGCCCTGTGCGGCCTCACAGCTCGCACACCCCTAAGACCGGCCACACAAAAACTGCTGCATCAAGCTAAAGTTGTATCGGTGACTACAGTGTCCCGTTAATGAAGACCCCACACTGATTCTTCTTAAAATGCAGTCAGACTGGAAGAACTGTAACTAAAATGTTAGGAAGTGACACCGATTGTAACCAGACTTATCACAGCTTAGTCATACAAATAGTCCATGATTAGATGTCGAGCTCATTCTTCGGTTTAGCTCAGCTGGAATCTAAAAATGGCATTGCAGAGACCTGTATATCACTGTGTCTGGGCACTAATTTAAGCCTGAAGGGTTCCCTAGGCAAACACAACTATTACTTATTTACTTCAGGACTTACCCTGTCTCTTGCAATTAGACATTATATATTACTGCACCTGCCTGCTTATTTTGTCGGACTTTATTTTATGCAATAAATAACATTTTGTTACAAGGAAACCAATATACCGTGCTCAGGTTACAAATGTAACACCCGATGTACATATACAACCCTATGCAGATATACCACAATATGGGTACACATGTACAATACTAGGATACAAGTATAGAACACTAAGATATCGACATAGAACACTATGGTTCCCAAACCACCTGTATGCCTGGTCTGTCTGAGATTAGTGGGAGTTAAATTTTAATTCAACTCTCAGGAGCATAACTCACACAAATCTCAGGCAGATGGTGACATGTTTGCATACCTCTAATTGGGACAGGGGCTGGGGCCTCGCTGGCAAAGAGCAGGCCTATTTGGCACATCAATCTGGGGTAAATCCACACCAGGCTGACTGCAAAATACACTAGTCAGCATTATTGTAACGGACCGTTTAGACGATATTCCCCTTTCTCAGCTACACCGACAGCTACTGTAAGCACCGATCTCCCGAACTGGAAACACATGACCACTGGAAATATCCGAACAGGAAAACCATACGAAAGGGTTACACTCCTGGCAGTCAGCATACAATCCAATTCCCCCAACAACGAGACGACACCAGAATCTGAAGATTTATTCACACAACCTCCTTTTAAGACATTCTCCCATGCAAGGGAGGGATCCACAACAATTAGTACCCCAGCCAATAATGTACCAGTTACCTCCCACACATCTCCTCCCCTTAGTGTGACACATAATCCCATTAGTCCAGACACAAATTCCCTGGGATACTGAATGTACCCCTAAACATAGGGATACCCCTTTAAATGTTACAGGTAGCCCTGATCTGGGTGAGACACATATCCAAAAATCACCCAGATCGGACCAGGGGTTCGGGAATTATGGAGGGTTAAAGTTTTGACTGACTGCATGGCAAAAGTATCCGAAAATAGATCCATGTATTATGGCCCTGCAGTCAGTCACAGAAAAGGGAATGAAACACACGAATTGCCTGGGTTAAAGAGCCTGGGGAGGGTTTAAACGAATTCCCTTATTCATGGGGTTCTTTCTACCGAACCGCGAGTCATTCGGTAGTTTCCACACAAATTCATGGAAGTCTGGAGGTCTCAGCGGTGTTTGCCTAGTCGAGTGTCCGATTTTAGTTCCAGACACTCAATGGCAAAACACTGCTGTTCGGGAGTTTAAGATGGCCGCCGCCACGTGTTCGTTTCCCGAATGGCGGTCACCCAGAGGACAAAGAACACATTACATAGATTGCCAATTACCCGTTTGCAACATTGTTGCAAACGGTAATTGGAGGCACAGTTACTCCAGGGTGGTCTGGTTGTTCGGTAGTTTCACTCAATATAATGAATGGAGTGATTCTACCGAACAATCAGGGGAATGCTGCATACACATAACACCGTTTACCGAACACATAATATTAAACACAGCCTGAATGCAACCTGCTACACAGTCTTAAAGGGCATTGTTCCTAACAGTCATAATATGTCCACGGATGGCCCTTAAAGGGCCAGTAGCAGCAATATAAAATACCACATGCCCAAATATTGCATTCAAAAGTACAAATTCACAAGGGGCCATAGTCAGCAGGTAGGAGGCAGGCAGCCAGACCTCTCCAATGTCCAGTGGCGAGGCAGCTTTCGCCACAATTATTAAGGGCTGAACATGCGCAGAGCCTAGTTAGTGTCGTAAGCATGGTCCCAATGCTATTAAATGTCAGTATTTGTGATTGCACACAAGTTTTTTTAGGGAGTCCTCATGGCCAAAGAGGACTTCAAGATGGCTGTCCCCATAAGTAATGAAATGCACTTACAGGACCACTATAGGCACCCAGACCACTTCAGCTTAATGAAGTGGTCTGGGTGCCAGGTCCAGCTAGGTTTAACCCTTTTTTCTATAAACGTAGCAGTTTTAGAGAAACTGCTATGTTTATAAATGGGTTAATCTAGCCTCTAGTGGCTGCCTCATTGACAGCCGCTAGAGGGCTTCCGCGCTTCTCACTGTGATTTTCACAGTGAGAAGACGCCAGCGTCTATACGAAAGCATTGAGAATGTTTTCCTATGGACTGGCTGAATGCGCGCGCGGCTCCTGCCGCGCATGTGCATTCAGCCGAAGAGGCAAAGAGGAGGAGGAGAGCTCCCCGCCTGGCGCTGGAGAAAGAGGTAAGTTTAGCCCCTTCCTCACCCTAGAGCCCGGCGGGAGGGGGCACCCTCAGGGCACTATAGTGCCAGGAAAACGAGTCCTTAAATGCATTACAAAGTAGCATGCACAGTCTCTATAATACGTGTGATTATTTTTAAATAAGCAAACTGTATAGGCACCTAGACCACTTCAGCTCATTGAGGTGGTCTGGGTGCAGTGTCCCTATTCCACTTAGTGCTGCAATGTTAAACACTGCACTTCCAGAGAAACAGCAATGTTTACGTTGCAGCTCTAAGTCTGCCTCCAGTGGCTGTCTACCATACAGCCACTGGGGGAGCTTCATGGATCCAAACATACATTTGCTCTGCATGAGAACCTCCAACGTCAGATTTTTTCCCCATAGGAAAGCATTGATTCAGTGCTTTCCTATGGGGAGGTCTAATGCACACGCTGCATTTTTCGCGTATGCGCATTAGCGGCTCCTTGTCCTGAGACCTTGGAGGAGGTGGAGCTCCAAGGGACCTTGGCGCTGGGATAAATGTTTATTTACTGCAGTGGGGGGTGGGGGGAGGGGATGCAAGATATGGGAGAGGCAGAGGGAGCAATAGTGCCAGGAATACAGCATTGTATTCCTAGCATTTATAGTATTCCTTAAATTAAAAAAATCAGGACAGAATTCCTTTTAATGTTTTTCTTCTATCACTGCAAAACTAGAACATATAAACCCCAAAAAGTGAAATAAACATAATTATTACAATGAGGTCTATCTTAAAGTAACAGTAACCCCTCAAAAAAAAAAATTATAATCGTAAACTCTGTAATTTTGCATATTTTTGCATGTAACCTTTTTGTCAACCCCTGTGGAGCGTGCCTTGGGGGCAGAGTGGGCGGCTGTGTGCACCTTGAAAAGTTCCGTTATTATGAGAAAATGCAGCAGTATTCTTCCTGTGGGCCATTCGGCGAAGTCATTATCAGTATCTTCCTGTATTCCCAAGGCGATATTCTTGATCGCTAGTCCAACAGCCAAGACTCATCACAGAGCAAGCTCTTCGAAATCTCAGCTGGGGGTAGTGATTACTGGCTGTGTTTGATTAATGGATCCACTGTTTGCGATGTGATTTTACATTCCTCGTTTGCAGCCTAACAATATTAAAATTGATGAATGCATTTCTGCAGAAAGCACATATCTATCAGTATTACGGACTGTAGAATGAAAATCACTGATAAGGAAAGAAAAAAACAGCAGAAACTAATTTAAAACCTGCTAAACTAACTTAAAAACGTCCCTATTGGGCTCTGCGCTAGGACCATTGTATGAAATCGGAAAGACGTTGAGAATTGTGATTTATTCTTAAATAAAGACTACTGCTATGAACTAAACTGTGAAAAACAAAACGTCCTCCTTTTTATATAATTTACAATTTGAGAACTATTCATTGTAATTGTTTGAGTTCCCAGCCGATTTGTACAAAAACACATTTAGTTTCAACATTCATGGGGCTGAGAAATGGAACAATGTATGGTAAGGAGAAGCTGAAATTAGAATTAAAATGTGTTATTCTGGCCAGACAAATCATTAAAGGGACACGATAGTCACCCAAACCACTAAATCTCAAAGGAGTGGTCTTGTCCTTTTAAAAAAACATTGTAGTTTTTTTTCCCACCCTCTAATCGCTGCCTTCCTGACGGACACTAGGGGCGCTTTCTCTACAAAAGCTGATTCGGCTGCAAATTTGGTCACGTGACTCAGATGCTCATAGTAGAGCTTTGAATACAATGCTTTTCTATGGGGAAGCTTGAAGCTGGGCATGGCCGCGCATACGCAATAGGTCCCCAATTCCCTATGAGAAGTACTGGATTGGTGGAATAAAGCTTAATTTCAAATGGGGGAAGGAGGACTTATATAGATCTGGGGACAGGAACACTCCTGTTTGTATTCTTAAAGGGACACTATAGTCACCTGAACAACTTTAGCTTAATGAAGCAGTTTTGGTGTATAGAACATGCCCCTGCAGCCTCACTGCTCAATCCTCTGCCATTTAGGAGTTAAATCCCTTTGTTTATGAACCCTAGTCACACCTCCCTGCATGTGACTTGCACAGCCTTCCATAAACACTTCCTGTAAAGAGAGCCCTATTTAGGCTTTCTTTATTGCAAGTTCTGTTTAATTAAGATTTTCTTATCCCCTGCTATGTTAATAGCTTGCTAGACCCTGCAAGAGCCTCCTGTATGTGATTAAAGTTCAATTTAGAGATTGAGATACAATTATTTAAGGTAAATTACATCTGTTTGAAAGTGAAACCAGTTTTTTTTTTCATGCAGGCTCTGTCAATCATAGCCAGGGGAGGTGTGGCTAGGGCTGCATAAACAGAAACAAAGTGATTTAACTCCTAAATGACAGTGAATTGAGCAGTGAAATTGCAGGGGAATGATCTATACACTAAAACTGCTTTATTTAGCTAAAGTAATTTAGGTGACTATAGTGTTCCTTTAACACTAAAGTAACTGAATGTTTTAACATTGTTTTTTTTAATTTATTTTTCTAAAACTTATATAACCATTTTAGAGCTGTGCACAGTCTTCTTTTGCCTGTCTTTTATTGATCCCTTGATGTTTCCAGGTGTTGTGGACCTTAGGGGACTGGAAGAAACCTTAAATACGTATAATTCCTGTAGAGGTTGTGATCTATTGCTGCATAGTGTAAAGTGGACTATAGTAAGACGTTTAAAGGACGCAAGATGTTTTGGTGTAATTTCTTGTTTTCTGAGATTTTAATGCACAGTGCACCCCTAGGGGTGAGTAAATGTTATCTAGAATAATTGCATACAAAGTGTGGTTGTAGTGTAATTGTGACAGGACCTGAGATGTTAAGATGGTTCTGAGATGTTTTGTGTCCATATCAACCGTAGGTTTCTAAGAGCTTTCCTAACTACATTAGCATCTGTGGATCGTGTCCAGATCAATGTTTTTCCAGAGTCCCCTGTATTTTGTCCTAAAACATCGGAAAGGGAGTGTTTGAGTGACTGTTTCAGATTGCAAGATATTTGCCTGATATTGCTTAAATAATGTGTCTTTAAAACACAAGGGAAATGTATAAGGATCTGAATTAATTACAATGCTGTTTGTAAGGCTATATTACTAAATGTTCCCTTCAACCAAGAATGCTCCTGGAAAATACATTTAATATTGTAAACTGTATGCTGCAAATAACCGCTGTCCTGTATGTTGCATTTTAATAAGTAATTTTATGGTATAGTTCACATGACTATTGCAAGGATAGCTGTCCTAATCTTTAGTCTGAATGGCTCTGAGAGACATGTTTCATCCAGCCTTTTATATTAATAGGTTGGTGGTAGGAGCTGGGTTTAAGAGTCCAGTAGAGTAATCACATAAAAAAGGCTCCACCCCCGAGGAGCACTTCTACTATTGCATAATGACATGGGTGCTGATTGCATAGCACTGATTATATGAGCTAGGGTGTATCATGTTTTTGTTTTGGTTTGTGACCCAGAAGATAAGGACCTGAACTCATTCCTGGATTGACCCTTGCTTTTTAAGTTTATTTTTATCGGGAAAGGTAAAACTTTGGTTTTAAGGGAATGATGTTACCCTAGAAGGCCAAAGCAAATACTCTTGAAATGGTAGACCCTAATGTCTTCTCTGAGAAACTTCGGTGGGGAAGTCATTGAACCCAACCTATCATAAGTCTTGTTGGTGACGTAACATCTCCTGATTGGCGTACCTGAGAAAATTGCTCACCTGACAATGTCCGCACATTTCCTGAGAGACAAGATCATGAAAAAATAATTTTTTTGCCTTTAAATGGTCATATTTTTCACAAAATAAATTAGTTGTTGACTGAATAGCTTCCGGCAATCACGTTTTTCCAGTAGCCTCACAAGGGAGCCAGAAACACCTGTTATTACGGTGACTATACCAAGATGTCAGCAATTTGACAACATGTTCCTGCCCTGGAGTTACATGCCCTAAAGGAGAACAATCCTTATGTTTACAGAGCCGACACAATTTTTATTCCTACCCAGTATGTGCTCTAATCATTTTATGCAAAAATAATTTCATGCATTTACACAGTAAATTTTATTGTGTGATAAAGATAACCACAAATTAATTTTATTTTCATTAGGATTTATAGTGCATTGGGATTCATCCTGGTTTCTTTTGCAGTAAATAATCTACTTTATTGCCAAGAATGGGTCATCTCACTAGGTCAGTTTGGTAATTTTCTATCAGTATTGTAAATATCAAGTGAGGCTCTGAAATGATGATCAGTGCCAGCATCCTCAAAGAATCCCTTCTTTGCCAACTTCATTAGCAAGCAGATGGTGCAGAATATTACCTTTAAGGTGTGCTCGTTCTGCGCCATTTACCATTGTACAGAAAACATGCATAAAGTACTGTAAACTATTTTTTCACCTCAATAAAATACAATTATAATCTTTACTGTAGTATAATAGGCATAGAAGGTTGATTAAATGAACTTATATTTGTCACATGAAAAGAGTAGTGAGTGCTACCAGCTTGTGACTGATGTTTCTTAGGAAAACGGTGGAAACGCGGATGGTTGGCACAGCTTGTAACAATTTTATGTGATGTGCAGGACTCTCCATATCTCCCAATTGTTCCAGATCTAACAAGGACAATATATACCGCCCAATAAACCATATTGCCATGCTATCCTCGATCCAGCAAGAAGAGTCCATATCTCCCAGTTGTCCCAGATCTAACCAGGACAATCCATACCTCCAAATAAACCATATTGCCATACTATCCTAGATCCAGCCAAAAGAGTCCATATCTCCCAACTGTCCCAGATCTAACAAGGACAATCCATACCACACAATAAACCATATTGCCATACTATCCTAGATCCAGCCAAAAGAGTCCATATCTCCCAATTGTCCCAGATCTAACAAGGACAATCCATACCGCCCAATAAACCGTATTGCCACACTATCCTAGATCCAGCAAGAAGAACATCTCTCCCAATTGTCCCAGATCTAACAAGGACAATACATACCAACCAATAAACCATGTTGCCATACTATCCTAGATCTAGCCAAAAGAGTCAATTTTTCTCAATTGTCCCAGATCTAACAAGGACAATCCATACCACCCAATAAACCGTATTGCCATGCTATCCTAGATCCAGCAAGAAGAATCCATATCTCCTAATTGTCCCCGATCTAACAAGGACAATACATACCAACCAATGAACCATATTGCCATATTCTCCTAGATCCAGCAAGAAGAGTCCATATCTCCTTATTGTTACTGTTCCGTCAAGGACATTCCATACCTCCCAATAAACTATACTTTCCAACTGTCCTGGAACAGTCCATAACTCCCAACTATACTAGATCCAGCCGGACAATTAATACACCAAATATAAAGAACCCAAAATTTTTTTATAAGTTTGCCTAGTAATGGCCCCACTACTTATTTTATATTTTTCTACTTAGGAAGGTATGAATAAACCTTATGTAGATGTTCTGGATTTCTGGAACATCTACAATGCTACCAGGTTTGTGCATCACTGCAGCGGCAGCATTTGGCCCAGGTTTTACATTTTTAAGCTTGACGTTGGCATAGCATTGAAGATTCCAGTTGTAGAAGTCCGGAGCTTTGACATCCCACAATTTATAGTGTGAACTAGGGATGCACCGAAATGAAAATTCTGGACCGAAACCAAAACCAAAAATTCAGGATGCCCCTGGCCGAAAACCGAAACCGAAAATTACTTTTTTCCCCAAATGATTTTAAAATATTTTTTTTCTAGAATTTTATTAATATTAGACTATTTAATCATTACAGTGAAGCAACTTACAGCTAATTTCATATTTTAGGCTATAATAACTAAACCATGAAAAAAAAAAAGAAAAAAACAATTTTCAGTTTGGCTAATTTGGCCTAAAATAAGAAAATCAGTTTAATTTCACTTTCACATCCTCACAATTGACAGCTAAGTAATAACCCTGAATTCATTACTAGGTCAAAGAGGTAGCTGTTGTAAAACTGCAACTCCCATGATGCTCTGTGAGCCTAAAGGGTGAGAAAGCATGATGGGAGTTGTAGTTATTCCGCACCTGTCGCTGCAGGTTTTACATGTGCTGTCCAGGTTCGGTCCTCTCACCCCCACTGCTGCTTTCCTCCCCCGTAGACAGGTGTTTTCTACCCCCAGTGGAGGTTGCGGCTGCCTGGGATGTCCGGTGGGGTGGTCACCCAGTGCTGGGACAGGTCCCCCGAGGAGCAGAATTACCTTGCCTGGAAGCCGAGCTGGCAGTCCTCCCCTCGGCCCTCCGCTTCCGTGTCACATGTCCGCCCAGCGCCTGCCTTCTGCGACACTTGCCAGAAAGCGCGCTGCAACACTAGAGAACTGTACCAGTTCTCCTTCCATGCGCTACTTTCTCTGGTGTTTACAACTCCTGTGTGCTGCACGTTTGACGGTCAGATAAGTAGTTTATATATACATCTGGCAGCTCACTGTGCTGGGTTTCTTATGGTGGGACAACCGATGTTTGTTTAAATGCCGTGTTGGGTAAGGAAGATGTATGCACTCTCAAGAAGGTCAAATTATCTACCTCTAAAAGTCTTCCTATACCTAACGTTGATTGTAAAACCTGTTCAGCACCATAAGACAAAAAACATTTTCTCTTCTTTGTCCAGCAGAATTCAGCTGATTCGTTAAAATCTCAGATTTTGATTGGCTACTTACATTGCGTGCTCTCTCGGTTGTTTTGATTGTCACTAAGGATATGATTTCTGCACAATGGAACTGTCAGATCTTCAAGTGGTAATAACAGCTTAATTTATCATAGCTTGATAACATGATGATAATCTGTTGGACACATTGTTTAACTCTGATTTATGTGAAAGAAAATCTATGTGACAGGTCCACTTTAATCACGAACACGTTTAAAAATAAATGGCTGTTTAGAGTACACTTGTCATTAAAAAAAATAATGCCAGTCTTTGTACAACTGGCTAGCAAACGCATAGTTTAAATTTGATGACCAGTATTTTTAGTCCTTTGCCTTTTCTGCAATGCTGTAGGATAGTCAAGGCACGGGATTGAATGAGGATAAGTCATAGTGGATGGGGCGATAGGGCAATTCACATCATAGGTCCCATGGTGTTGGGAACACTATAGTCACCAGAACAACAACAGCTTATTATATTTGTTCTGGTGAGTATAATCATTCCCTTCAGGCTTTTTGCTGTAAACATTGTCTATTCAGAGAAAAGTCAGTGTTTAAAATACAGCCTAGGGATACATCCACTGGCCACTCCTCAGATGGCTACTAGAGGTGCTTCCTGGGGTAGTGCTGCACAGTGTGACGGACATTCCGTGTCTTGACCCTCTGCATAGAGACAGTGAACTTTCCTCATAGAGATGTATTGATTCAATACATCTCTATGAGGAGAAGATGATTGGCCAGGGTGGCTTTTGGCTCTTCCCGCTGGCACTTCTCCTTGGCTGAGATTATGAAAATTGACAATTTTCGCCAATCCAATGCTTTCCTATATTTGGGGGGGGGGGGGCTAGATAGTATTTTTAGCACCATAGGGTCAGTAATACATGTTTTTGTTCCTTCAAATACCTATTTTCTAACTGTCTGAGAAATGGGGCATCTGGGTTGTAACAAGTGTTCAGTGATAAGTGTGTTATTAAGACAAAAAAAACTAAATTAAAAACTGCTAAAGTGTTTCAAAAACATTTAACATAACATTGAGTTGTTTATTCACTAAACAGTGATATTTGTCGAATTAAAAAATGACTGCCAAAGGCAAAATGTTATCATATGGTTTCCAGCTCACCTATTTTGTTCAACATTTTGCAATCTTTTCTTTTTTTTTCAATTCAATATTTGTTTAGTGAATAAACCGTCTAGATGTGTTGGTAGATGAACGTGGATTTCTTTAATTGGCAAGGTAGCTTGCCTTTTATAAATGATGTTTAGGTAAACCGCAGTAGCTAAGAGATAAAGATGTATATTCAGTGGTTTCAGTTTCAAACATTTTAGGAATGAGAAACATTTTTCATGCTTTAATGATTACATTTTACATTTTGGGAGCAATTAGCAAGCATTACATTATATCAAGTCCTGCAGACCCTTAGATGGATTGAAAGCTCCCTTGCATCAATCCGACAGACACTAAACAAGGTCATCCGCAGACTATCACAGAGCTCGCTCTGTCCAAAAAAAGCTTTAATTACGCAGTTTCTACGTGTTTCTGGAAGAGTTATTACTCAATGTTTTTCATGCTTCTTGTGTACCGTCCAAGAACAGAGCCTTGGAATGTTCTACCAGTGAAAGTAACGGCTGCTGACTGATGATAGGAGACAGAAGGATATTGAGTTATCCCAGTCAGTACCGGAAAACCATTCTACACGCTCCTGCCAACAAGCTTGACAGTAAAGTTGTGTTATTTATTAACAAGTCCCTCTGTATACTGCAGTGTAGGACATTACAAAGTACGACCGTCATAAATACATTTTAATACAAAACGATCACTTCTTGGATGCACTTGACATCCTTGACTCTTGAAATACTGACAGCATCATAAATATATAGCCCGTACACAAAATAAAACGAATCCCAAGGTTTGTACTACAATTCAGATTTACATACGGCTTATCTATCTACATCGAACAAAATTAGAAACCCAACACTTTTGTTTTTGCCCCCATTTTTCTTGAGCTGAACTCAAAGATCTAAGACTTTTTCTATGTACACAAAAGGCCTATTTCTCTCAAATATTGTTCACAAATCTGTCAAAATCTGTGTTAGTGAGCACTTCTCCTTCTCTGACATAATCCAACCACCTCACAGGTGTGGCATATCAAGATGCTGATTAAACAGCATGATTATTGCACAGGTGTGCCTTAGGCTGGCCACAATATAAGGCCACTCTACAATGTACACATTGCGGGGTGCCAGGGAACTCCTGGCACCATATTCACTACACTGTAGCCAGAATTTAAAATCCAAAAATCCTTTGGCTAATTAGTCAAAAATTAAAAAAAGAAAGGAGTCCAAGATGTGGGTGCTGAAACCATTTCAGTTGTCTGGGAATTTTTGTTCTAAATATTTGCGATGACAAATTCCACTTTTTTTATCATTAAAGTTTTTATTGCTAAACATTTTAATATAATAGGATCCTGCAATGAGTGGATAAAGAAGGCATTTCAATGTATATAATAAGAGACAGATATAAGGAAGACGTTCGTGGGAGGGAAACAAGCAAGACAATCCACACCTACCATATTTAAAATAAAAGGAACAAAAATGAATGAAATTAAAGCAGAACTGGTAAAAGAGGACCAGCAGTAAATGCACAATGAGTCTGTCTCATCCCCCACATCACAAAGCTAAGCACAAGACTATCCCGCATGAAGCAGTAATTAGCACGCCTTCACAGCAAGTTCAATTTAAAGTTTTTCTCTTGTGAAGGAGCTTTCTTCTAGCTAAGGAGGAAGATATCCAGTGGTATTACAAAGTGCTGTGTTCAATTTTTCCATCTTAACCATATGCCAATGTTTTGGAGTCAAGTTGTGCCTGGCAAGCCATGAGCAAGGGATAATTTTGGAGCATTTCACTATCCACATACACAAAGCCACACAGACCCTAAAAATAAGTAGAGGTACCTGGGTGTAATCC